GTTTTGAAAACGGCCGCGGACTGTCACCTGCTCAACGCATCAGTACCTTCAGATGCCATGACAGTAATAGCCAATAATGTCAAAATATCATTTACAGACCGATTTAACAGACGATCACTGCTGCCCGACCTGCAGGTCCATTTGCGGGTCCTGCGGGTTACGGGTCGACCCGCGCATCATTACTCAGCTCAGTCTATAAAGGCTGTACACAGCAGTAGACATTATATTCTATTCAGGCCGGCAGAACCAGCAGCGCATCGGCTCTACAGTGCACGGCACTGCTGATAAACCATTTTATTGCAGCACAGAGTGTCTGCCAGCAACCAATTACTTGCAGAGGCTTCCTACAACTTGTTTCAACAGTTCCGATTTAATCAGAAGACAAATTAAACAGGATGACAAGCCAATGTGAAAATCAAAAGAAAGCATAGAATAATGTACTGAAGGAGACTTGCCAGCACATTTTTTTGTGGTTTGAGACCAAAGATCTGGTCGCCGCTGTGCTAGGTCCGAAAAAACCCCGGAGGCAGACCGGGGAGGCAACCCACCCCCCATCGTGAATGAATATTCGAATATTCCTTATAAATTCTGCCAAGGGTCCAAATGCTAAAAAATGGTATTTGGGTCAGCCCTACTAGGGTTAGCTACACCTTCATGCCCAAATATGGTCCAAGATGGCCACAGCCAAATGCCAACTCAAGGCTTCAAAATAAGGGTGGCAACTTTTTGGGCAAGACACAGGCAACTAGCAGTGCAGCTGGTTTTCATTGCCACTAGTTCTTTGACGTAGGTTTGCTGTGTCTGGGCCATAACAGCCACCAGACAACCCATAACTATCTTCAAAATCTGATTAATATTACCCTTTTCCAACTGAGACAGCGGAGCAGAGGAGGCACAAGATGGTAAAAGCATAAAAATTGAAATCAGTTGGACAAGAAATATTTATATTTAGAGTAAATAAGAGGGCGCGTGATATTGATCTATGTGGGACACCTTCATCAACCATCTGGGGACTTGATTTGAAGCAATCGGTAACAACTGTATGTATTCTTCCAGAAAGATAAGATTTGAACAAGCTATAAGCAGAATCATATAATCAATACAAAGCATATTACTACCAAAAGCATTGGTCAGATCTGCAAAGAGAGCAGCACAGTGTTGTTTTTTTATCAAGGGAGGTAACAATGTTATCATCAGTAGTTGCAGCAGTTATTGTACTATGAGTGGGCCTAAAGCCTGACTCTCCTCCAGAATGACACACAGTAGTGAGCTGACCAGAAATGATATGATTTTAAGCAGATAGGAAGGCTTAGATACAGGCTAATAGTTGTTAAGGTTAAACTTGAAAGAGGCATTGAGACAGTTTGCTTCCATCATGTCTTTTCCTTCATTTTTGCTGATATTTTTATATGTTACATATTTGTTTGCTTATGTGCATGTGTGTGTTTATCTCGGCCCTCATGCTGTGTGTGTGTGTCTGAATGTTTCACACTGGGTCTTACTCACTAAATACTGCATTATATAACCTACTCATCTTCAAAGTGGCAGCCCAAACATACAGTCAGCCCCAGGGCTCCTAGCCTGTGTGTGTGTGTAATGATGTTATAGCTGTGTGAGTTCAGTCAGAAGACCAAACGGCGCATCGATAGAAGGGCTATAGCAGATTAGCTCAAGGACAGAGTGAAGGATGGAGGCCGGGGTGGGGAGTCCTGGGAAGCCCTGTGTGGGAGTCAGCAGTATTACAGACTGTGCTATGACTGGATCATTTATTTAAAATCAGTCCAGTGTTGGGTACAGTGCTGTTTGAGTGACACAATGGACAGAAGTTCAGCAGACAGTTTATAATTGTGGGACATTAGATTAGATATGCAGTTTAAGAGTTTCCTGCATGTCTCTGTGGTTTTCAATCAATGAATTAAACTTCCAGTTATCTGCATGATATCAGTGCTGACTCATGGATAAAAGGAAGTGGTTAGCTTCAGCAGTCATTTGAGATTTTATTAACACAGGCAAGCAACTTACTGATTGAAAGCTTCACAGGGTTTGAAGTATAAACTGCCCATGTTGTGAACTTAAATACAATGTGGAGCTGCAACATCCTGTACTTACAGAGTCTCCTTATTAGATCAAATATAATTCTGGGATGTGTTCTGTTCACGTCAAAATGCTCCCTCCTTTTTTATGTCACTGTGCTGACAACAGCTGTTGCCAGAGGCATTCTGTTTTTTGGTTTGTTTGCCCATCAGTCTGCCTGTCCTAGTCTTGCAAACACGATATCTCAAGAACGCCTTGAAGTAATTCCCTCAAATTTTGCACCAGTATCCACCTGGACTCCAGCAAGAACTGATTAGATTTTGCTGGTCAAAGGTCAAGGTCACTAAAGGATTCATATGCTAATTATGACAAAATTTCCCACAAATGTCTAACAGAAGAAAATGATGGAGTGATGACATTTTATATCTGAGACGTGAAAGGTCAACTTCACTGCGACATCATATTGTTTTCTGGACTTAATACAATGCCATAACTCAGGAACAGAAGGGGAAACATTCGGTCAGATGCTGAATTGATGAATCTTTGGTGCCTTGAAACTGTGGTAATTGTAAAGATCTTCTGGGCTGCCAGAGGGAAGATGTGTGCAAAGCGTCCACCTTTTAGAATACATAGCTTCTTTGCAGCAACATCCATATTTGAAGCACTGTCTGCCACCATGGCTACATATGAGCATGGATGTACATGAACTGTAACTGCAACTTACAGTCGGTTGGCAATTTACAGTTTGTTGGCAGGGCCATACAATCGCGAGGCAATGATTCTAGTTTATTTCTGCTTTTTCCCCTTGTGAACTGAAAACTGATATGCATCAGTCCTGTTACAGAACTTAACTGAGCTGCTTAAGGTGTCTTTCTAGCAACTTCTGATTAAGGAATTAGAGATTAATCTATCAGGAAGTTTTTTAATGTCAGACCACAAAACCTACTGTGCTCAGGCGCTCTTTTAAGCTTATCAGCAACAACATAAAACCATACATACATGTTCCAACTAACCCATTTAAATACAAGCTGCATTTTATGTGTGCTAAAAAGGTTATGCATTGTCAAGTCAAAAGGGTTGACTGGTATGTTGTATTTATATGCCCATGCCTTGTGCCATGTGTCTTTTTTAGTCCATATGTGTTACTTTATTATTTGCTATTTTCAGCTTTTCAATTCAGATTCAAATAACAAAACTGAGAGAATTTGAATAACATGTTTTTTCTTCTAAACTTTTGTTGTTGGCTGTGGGGTTGGGGATTGTCTGGTATCTATAATGACTTTTTCACAACAGACATTTTCATCTTTTCATGGCAAGAAAAGTAGGTCTACACCTTTGAGTCACTGCCCACATCTCTGATTTTATCAGTTATTTCAATAGGATGGGTGCAGGGCTCCAACTAACAATGCGTGCTGTGAAAACGCTCCACTCAGTCTGATTATCAGGATATGGGGAAAGCCCAATAAGATTAATGATGACTCTGTTTGTTTCATGATGATAAAACATGTCCTTCCTCATAGTTACTTCCTGGTGCACAGTCTATTGTAGTAAGACAGGAGATAAAAGATCAGTAAGAAGGACAAATTGAACATGCCTCCGAATGGTGTCGGGTCTAAACTCTTCATCCTCTGCCGAGTGACAAATTGAATTTTAGGAGTGAAATCCAGCAGTGAGCTGTACTACTGAACTGCTTGCTGCGTGCCTTTTTCAAAGATCCAGGATGTCAAATTTTTAGGCATGTTGGTGGCTAAATGTTAGACTTCCTCCAGACTAATTTGTTTTCATTTTAAAACTCATAACTGCTGCTGTGTTTACACCTAGTGTCCACATTACTTGGTATTTTGGAATTCCTAAAACAGAGATCCTTGAGACCCTGTTGACCCAGTTTTAATTAAAAAACTCCAGGGTTGCCTTTTAATTTGGCTGGGCAGAAACAGAAATGAATTTTAAAATAAAAAAGTGTGGATTTGTATCTGTATAGGTATCTGTATAAATATTTAATAACTTGACATTCATGTTATCCTCAGATTATTTGCAAAAACTTTGATGATCCCTTGACATTTAATCCTCAGTTAAATTTTTAATTTGTCCAATACTTTGGTTTATGGCCAAATACCTGCAAAAATAATGGCATTCCCATCAGCCTTAGCGGTACTTATTATTTATTGCTTATCAACAAATGTTAGCATATTAACCAGCCCGGTCTCACCAATACATGAAATGGACACAAAGTCTTAACAACGCATTACGTGTTGGTGGGCATAAAATGTGCTAAAATTACTTGCTAGCAACATGGAAACAATGTTAATGCAAAGTGAATGAGGGTTATTTGTCGTGGTGGACACACAAATTAAGCATAAAGAGTGAGATAGTCCATGTAGGGCTGGCAGGCGGGTGGGAGGGGTGGTGGATGGGTCAAGCAAACATGGACTTTCAACCAGTAGATGGTTTTTTGCATCCAAAGCCAAAAGTACTTATGGAATACGCAAAGTATTTTATGTAAATTCTCTATGGAGTTACACATAGTACATAAGTTTACGTCGCTTACGTCCCATAAATAGTTATATTTTAAGCAAAGCTATGATCTTTTCCTGAACTTGACCAACTATTTTTTTTTTATCCTGTGACCAGTGATAGACTTTGCACTGCCATTATTTTCGTGTTGCCAACACTTAATTTCAACACATTTCATGCCCAACACCACTTAATGCATTGTTAAGAGGTTGTGTCGATTTCACATATTTCTGTGTTGTATTAACACACTAAACTAAGATGGCAAACTTGTAAACATTATGCTTGCTTAATGCCAGCAACTTTGCATTGCCACTGTGAGCATGTTAGCATGCTGATGTTAGCATTTAGCAGGGACTCGCACATCCCACTCTCAATTGGATCTGTTAGGTTGTCTAGTACATTTTTAGATAAATGTTAAAGATTAAAAAGATTTTTCCTTCCTTTGTTCACAGATGCATTGGGTTTGTGAGTTCACTTGATGTCGGCACCCTCAGGGGGTGGGAGGGCCTGCAGAATCAAAACCCAGTCATCACAGGTGAAACCTCCAACTAGCACATCTGTGACCACCCTCATGTTCCTACAGAGCACCAAATAGCTCATTCTGGAAAAAAACACTGCTTCAGAGCTAAAAGGGACTTACTTCCAACATGGAGGGTGTAGCCGTCAACAACCTTATAGACTTTGACCTACCCTCAGAGGCCACAACTCTCAGCATAGATGGAGACCAACATCAAGGCCATACAGACATTTTCTCTCCAGAGCCGACATCTTCCATGGGAGTCCACCAGCAGCCCTTACTGCCAGAGCCCATGGCGCCAACCAAGCCCAGCCCTCACCACCACCACCACAATCACCAAGAGGAAGGAGGCAATGACAGCGATGCTACAGAGTCGGCAGACAGCGAGAATGACATGGACCCGCCATCGCATATGTGGGAGCTGAGGAGGTCGTCATCTTCGTCCGCCCACAGTGGAGAGGAGGCTGATGCAGAGACAGTGGAGAGGAGGCAGTTCATGAAGGCTTATGTGGAGAAGGTGTTTCATGGAAGGTAAGGAGGAACTATTTTTTAATATGTGTATGTGTTTTACAAAGACTCATTCGATCAGTAAGTTCATAAGATAGTGAAGGTAGGATTATTTTTGTGAAACTAGAACTACAACCTAGTTTGCCCTCATTCAGTCAGTTGAAAGAAACATGATCAACAAATTGAAAGCCCCTGTGTGACACGTTGGAAGAAAATCTCTTTTGGCAACTCCAAGAAAAAAAAAGACTGCATCAGTTTTCACCTGGATTTTATTATTTTTCTACAAACAAAAATGTATGCCGGCAGAATATTTTGAAAGATGCTACAGTAATGGAGCTTTGAAGTGTAACCATTTCTCTTTTTATAGAAGGAATAGCACATTCTTTGTCTTACAGAAAAGCATTACAAGTTCTTGCAGAATGGTTGTACAGGTTATACAAAAGTAATAAGCATCAGCGACTCATTATTGTAATCATTGCTAATACAGTTTCAGATGTACAGCTAGATGAATATCTGTCAAAATTGCACCCAAATATAACTTTGAAAAAATGCATTGGTACTGTTTAAATGCACATACAGTACAGGCCAAAAGTTTGGACACACTTTCTCATTCAATGCGTTTTCTTTATTTTCATGACGATTTACATTGTAGATTCTCACTGAAGGCATCAAAACTATGAATGAACACATGTGGAGTTATGTACTTAACAAAAAAAGGTGAAATAACTGAAAACATGTTTTATATTCTAGTTTCTTCAAAATAGCCACCCTTTGCTCTGATTACTGCTTTGCACACTCTTGGCATTCTCTCCATGAGCTTCAAGAGGTAGTCACCTGAAATGGTTTTCCAACAGTCTTGAAGGAGTTCCCAGAGGTGTTTAGCACTTGTTGGCCCCTTTGCCTTCACTCTGCGGTCCAGCTCACCCCAAACCATCTCGATTGGGTTCAGGTCCGGTGACTGTGGAGGCCAGGTCATCTGCCGCAGCACTCCATCACTCTCCTTCTTGGTCAAATAGCCCTTACACAGCCTGGAGGTGTGTTTGGGGTCATTGTCCTGTTGAAAAATAAATGATCGTCCAACTAAACGCAAACCGGATGGGATGGCATGTCGCTGCAGGATGCTGTGGTAGCCATGCTGGTTCAGTGTGCCTTCAATTTTGAATAAATCCCCAACAGTGTCACCAGCAAAACACCCCCACACCATCACACCTCCTCCTCCATGCTTCACAGTGGGAACCAGGCATGTGGAATCCATCCGTTCACCTTTTCTGCGTCTCACAAAGACACGGCGGTTGGAACCAAAGATCTCAAATTTGGACTCATCAGACCAAAGCACAGATTTCCACTGGTCTAATGTCCATTCCTTGTGTTTCTTGGCCCAAACAAATCTCTTCTGCTTGTTGCCTCTCCTTAGCAGTGGTTTCCTAGCAGCTATTTGACCATGAAGGCCTGATTGGCGCAGTCTCCTCTTAACAGTTGTTCTAGAGATGGGTCTGCTGCTAGAACTCTGTGTGGCATTCATCTGGTCTCTGATCTGAGCTGCTGTTAACTTGCGATTTCTGAGGCTGGTGACTCGGATGAACTTATCCTCAGAAGCAGAGGTGACTCTTGGTCTTCCTTTCCTGGGTCGGTCCTCATGTGTGCCAGTTTCGTTGTAGCGCTTGATGGTTTTTGCGACTCCACTTGGGGACACATTTAAAGTTTTTGCAATTTTCCGGACTGACTGACCTTCATTTCTTAAAGTAATGATGGCCACTCGTTTTTCTTTAGTTAGCTGATTGGTTCTTGCCATAATATGAATTTTAACAGTTGTCCAATAGGGCTGTCGGCTGTGTATTAACCTGACTTCTGCACAACACAACTGATGGTCCCAACCCCATTGATAAAGCAAGAAATTCCACTAATTAACCCTGATAAGGCACACCTGTGAAGTGGAAACCATTTCAGGTGACTACCTCTTGAAGCTCATGGAGAGAATGCCAAGAGTGTGCAAAGCAGTAATCAGAGCAAAGGGTGGCTATTTTGAAGAAACTAGAATATAAAACATGTTTTCAGTTATTTCACCTTTTTTTGTTAAGTACATAACTCCACATGTGTTCATTCATAGTTTTGATGCCTTCAGTGAGAATCTACAATGTAAATAGTCATGAAAATAAAGAAAACGCATTGAATGAAAAGGTGTGTCCAAACTTTTGGCCTGTACTGTAGATATTAATCATACACAGAATTGTTTGCAAATATATATTGCAAAGTGTCAATTCCCTGATAAGTCACTTGATAGAAAAAAATCGAAACCTTGAGGAAATTCCTTCAAATCTGGTGCAAATGTCCACTTGGACTCAATGAACTGAGTAGATTTTGGTGGTCATAGATCAAGGTCAGTGTGACCTTGCATCCCACTCATTCTCGAGAATGGGATATCTCCAAAAGGACTCGAGGGAATTTCTTCAAATTTGGCACAAATGTCCACTTGGAGACTGTGACTTCATAATGTTCTTCAAAAACACTTTTCTGGCCATTACTCAGTGTCATAATTCAGGAACATAAATGGAGACATTTGGTCAGATGATGAATTGGTGAGACTAATTTTGGATGTCCACCTTGAAACTGTGCTGATTGTATAAATCATGTGTAATGCCGGTGGGAAGATGTGTGTGATGCATCCACGTTTTCACAGACATGGATGTAAACTGTAACTGCAACTTGATTGTTTGGTAAAGGCATAACTGTGAAGCAGTAATTCTAGTTAGAGATCAGTGTTAGTCATGGTGACTGCACAAAGCACCACAGAAACATACTTTATAGAGACAGTCCTGATTAGCTCATAGAGATACTGCAGACACTTTTTTGGGACAGTAAGTGTTGTGTTGCTGGATGGCAGCCACCATATTATGGGTGCAGGGGAAGAGATGAAGGCTGAAGGTGCCCTTTCGCTGCATCAGCTCATTTCAGAGAGTGCTAAGTAGGGTCTAAGAGGGACCTGATGGTCTCCCACTATGGAAGCAAAATCTGCCAAATCAAAATCCCCACTGATTCTGGCTTTAGTCTGCTCCTCCACTAAAGAAGCATAGGGAAGTAGCTGTAGGTGCTTTTGTTTTGTTTGTTTTTTTACTCTGGGATTTTACTGTGATTAAATGAACAAGGTTTAGCCCTCTAGGCAGGACTTGTCCCACCCCTCATTTGCACAAATAAGAAGAAATGCATAAAAAAAATGCATGAAGAAATGTATGAAGTCAATAATGCGGAAATAAATAACTTTTAGGAAATAAAAAGGGGAAATACAAAGGGAAGTAAATAAATAAGTATCATTAAAAAACAAAACAAAAAATGCAAAAATTTGATTAAAAAACATTCATTTTAAATGAATAAAATAAATGCAAAAATGAATAAATGAATAAAAATAATCAATTTAGATAAATAAAAGAGAAAACTAACTAGTAAAGTTAATACATTGGAGAATAAATACAAAGGTAAATAACTAAAGACGCAAATGAAAACATATTTATTTTGGCAGCTTCCGTCCTCCATATACCACTGCCTGTAGAAAGTCTACACTCAATAATGTGACAACATTTTAAACCCTCTAGCATCAATAACCTTGGTAGTAGTTCCTCAGCACACAACACTACACTGTGGTGGCTTTTTTTTACACTTTTACATTACTCGATAACTAACAGAAACTTCTCTGACCTCACCCTCCCCATTTTTCAGCAATTTTTATTATTTATCTCCTAAGTTTTTTTTTGGTGTTGTTGATGCAGTGACTTTTTCGTTGATGACTGCTATGTTTTGTCAGATTGTTTTCCTTTTTCCTGACTGTGTGGTCCCGTCACTTTCTCCTGCTTTAGGCTGTGACATCACTTTTATTCAGATCAACTCTGTTCTATCTTTGTCACCCAGAATAACTAGAAACATTCACCCACTCAAAGATTCCCATGACTCACCAGCAGAGGCCCATGGGGGACATGAATGAAAATTTGACAAGAAATCCAATGTGAGCAGGGTGAAATGTTAAAAGGGCAGTTCTAAATATCAGGGTACCTTTGTATTAAATTTTGCAGACATGTATTGAACTTTTTCTGGCATTTTTGGGGCAGGCTAGATTATTTCTGACAGTGCTGAATACAGTATATCTGATAGGTAATTTGCCATCTGTGGGTCACGGACCTCTTTGGTCAGTGAATTAACACACTGACTCCTTTTTTAATGTCATAATACATCTTGTCTAAAAGAATTAATTTCTGGCCATGAGAACTCCAGGTCTGCAGTCTCCTAGTGATGACCTGCACCCTTTTTACCCTCTTTAAAGCAGTCTAGTCATCTTTTAGGGCTGGACTCTGTTAGTAAATTCCTTATCATCTGAATCCTTCTCTATGTTGACTGGATTATGCAACCCTAAACCCTTGCATTTCAGGACTACACAGCTTGCCTGGCTACTTTTCTAAAATTGCACTCTTGCAAAACTTACATTTTTACTGTAAAGCAGTGGTGTAGAGGAGGGTATACGCAGGTATACAGGGTATACCCACATCTTTTTCTGGCCAATTACAGTACACCCACCTATCAGACAAAAAAACATTAGACTATATAGGAGAGTATGCCCACTTCCTCCTCTGTATCTTACCCAGCTACTAAGTAGTACATCCACCTCATCAGCTACCACTACACCACTGATGTAAAGGTACTGCCAGATCAGCCTCAGCTAGGTTCTCATTGTGTGAGATGGCCATTAGTGTAACACAGTGTACTGTGCTGTATTCTCCAGCAGGAGACACATTGCTGCGGATATTCAGTGGGCCACATAGCCTACCCTGGAATTAATTTTGGAAGCTAGAAACTTTTTTGATGTATAGCGCAAGCGCAAAGCCAGAGACTGTGTCGTTTTAAGTGTCAGTTAGCTGTAGATTCACCACTTACAAGCAGGTGAGAGAAGATAATGTTTTCTTCGAGCCTTACGTTGGAAAGTTTCCTCTCCTCTGTGCTGCTACATCACGTCAGCAGCTGTCTGTACCAAAGAGTAGCATGCAGCAAAATCTGGGGGCCAAAACTTCCCCAGATGTACACTGCACAGCACGCTGTCAAGCAAAAAAAAACATAAACAAAAAAAAAAGATGCTCAACCTGAAGCAATCTCAGTTAACTGACGAGTCTTCAACTGACTATTTGAATCTCCTACTTTCATTGGGCAGCCCTATCTTAACTCTCAAAAGAACTCTTCCAAATATATTGAAATATTTCTTTTAAAGTCCCCAAGATTGCCAATCTTGAGCTTGGTAGTATAGACACAGTTGTAACCCACCCACACTTCTTGACATTGCTAATACAGTAATTTATTTGGTATTTTAAAATTTTTTGTATGTTTTCCCTCTGTTTTTGTTCACACTAAGTCTACATAGATTTATCTTATGTTAATTTTTTATTACCTTTTTAACTTTACAAACCACTTTTTATGGATTTAATGCCCATGTGAAGTTCTATTAAGTCCTGTCAGATTCTCAGTGAAACATAGTCATTTAATATAATCAATAGTAAAATCAATCTGATAAATCATGAAGTTAACAAAACCAGCTTCTGTGAAGCGACTTTCCACAGGGTCTGTGACTTACAGCTGTAATGAGTTTTTGGACCATGTTTTCACAGGGAGGACTTTGATCAGGAAGAGAAGGCTCGTTTTGGAGAGCTGTGCAGTGGAGAGAACGGCAAAGGCAGGGAGTGGTTTGCCAAATACGTCAGCGCACAGGTGAATATGGGGAAATGGTGACTCGTTAGATGTCAGACCTGACCTGTAAGGGAACATTCCACATGCATTGGCCAAAAATTACAGGTTCTTGTTGGACCTGTACACACTGTACATAAAAAAGGTCACACATTCTAGTAAAATACCCACATATGCAGGAAATCAAACTGAAATATCTTGTAAAATAAGTAGTGGAGTTTATTTATGTAACTTAGCTGACGATTGTTGTGGTCTTGTCTCTATACTAAGCTTTCCTGTACAAACTCATAACTCTCTTTCATACTTTGTTTACAGCGCTGCCACTCTAAATGTGTGAGTGAAGCCACCTTCTACAGACTGGTGCAGTCTTTTGCGGTTGTGCTGTTTGAGTGAGTCTTTATGTGGTTGACTTTGTTAAGACCAACTTAATGTAATCATCTAATCTTATTGCACTGTAAAGGATAAGGTAGATGATAATTTATGAAGTTGTTTATGTCAGCATTTCCCATAAAAAGACAAAAACCTCTCAATACCAGTTACTCAAACAGGAGAAAATAATGCATTATGGGACTATTTTCAGCAGCGGATAAATACCCATATGGCGCTCTAGTAAGTGTTTCTTGCAGCAGGAGTGTGTTTGTGGGATTGAGTCCAAAAAACCACAGTGTGGGTATTCACAGTTATGAAGGAACATGACACCCGGTGCAACAGTTTGATTCACTGATGTGTTTTTAATAGTTTTTGGACAACAATGGAGCTCTACAGCACAGAAGAAGATGATGCATTAGACCTTGAATACACAGACAACACAAGGGATTAGTAAGATCAACAGTAGGATCAACTCACTCTGGGTTGTGTCTATTCATGGGATTTGTTGCCAAGAAGAAAAATACATCACCTACTCATCCTTTTAGTGAACAAGTTGTAGTAAAATACATCATTTCTAGCAGCAAGGTCATGATCAGGATCAGGATCACCACTAAAGAAATGGTGTGTTTACAGATGTTACCAGATGGATGACTACAGCCCAGCCAAAAACCTTATGACAATGTGCTTCACATACTACTACATTGGTAAGGTCTAGTTCACTCTTTATCTGGCATGCATATTCATGACTTTTCTTTTCAAACAATCAGTCACTGTTTTAACATAAACACAGGCCTCTGTTGCCCAAATGAAAAGAGCAACCAGAGAAAAGGGTTACCAAGCAAAAGAGAACATGTTTAGGTAAAGATATTCCTCCTCAGTGCTGATTCAGAGGGTGTCACCACCACAGGTTGTTCCTGTGGTTTCTCTTGCAGCAACACCACAGACACATATGCAGTGACTTTGTCGAGTTGCATGACGGTAGTGTATTTGTGCTTATGCAAGCAGGAAGCTTTCGGTGATTAGTGTACCACAGTGGCACAGTACGTGTTTCTACATCCGTCTACTGTCAGGTCTGCTATAATTATGTTTTACACACAAAACAAAACCTGCACTATAGGCAACTTTGCATGGTGATGAACAGCTGCAGAGGTCTCCTCATAAACATAAACTACAAAGAAACATCCCTGGTCCAAAGGAAGACTAAATGTGCACGTTAACAGTTCTTTGTCTTCCCCAGTTGGAACACTGTGAACACTAAATGATCTATCCAAAGCGGACTAATTATTGTTTCCATTTCCAGCTCACTGGGTTGCAGATGGCTGAGAAGAAGCTAATTGGTCCATCAGACTTCATTTTTTTTCTAAATGTGAACACCTGAGAGATTAACCTTGCCTCAGAGGCTAAACAGTAATTAGCCATTGGTAAATGTTCTAAGGCACACTGTTTATCAGCCCACCAGTCTGTTGTGCCATAGACCAAGGACACCACAGAGACACTGAGTTAAAAAGACAGACTGATGTGCAAACAAATTTGCCTTATGGGGATTTAAAACAATGTTTTAATGATGCCATGTACAAATAGATGTCCTCTTTTGACCTTCTGCTCTCCGCTTGCTCAGGGAAGTGCCAGCCATCTCCCTCAGAGTTGCTGGATCGTGGTGGTCCTCCAGCTGGTCTGGACTCGTACCTCAACAAGGCCAACTTCTGGCTGTCTGGGAAGAAGGATGCTGCTGAGCGCCTCCTCAAGAACACATCTAAAAGTGACGTCAAAGGCTTCTTTGGAGGCTTAGAGAGCAAGCTGAGAAGCTCAATAGCTGCCAAGACTGAGTGAGCAAATGCATCTTCTCCTTTACATTCTTGTCATTAACACAGCTATACATAGTTTTCATTCCTCTCTCTTTATCTTTACTGCATTCTTATTTCAAGGGATGGTGAAAGCCCAGTTGAGACAAAGCCCAAATCACCAGGTATGATGCACCAAAAATCTCTCGCACTGCACTTATTACAGTGCAAAAAGCTATTTCCTTCTTCTGCCCCTCTTTTCTATTTTATAAAATGTGATTTAGAAATGACTTGAGCTGTACCAGTGCCTTCATGTATCCTCTTCCATCCCAGTGTCAGAGGCTCCAGAGGAAAAGAAAGGAGAAAAGGTGTATCTGTACACCCACCTGAAGCAGCAACCCATCTGGTAAGTTGGGGAAACTGGCAGAACAGAACACTAACAGGAGCTCTCTAGCTTCACCATGTACTGTCCTCTGCTAAATTCTCCATTGTGTTCACCAGCCAAATCAGTTTTTTTTGCTGAAAACAGCATCCTCCTGCCAAAATTTATGCTATGAGAGTGGTGTCATAAAAATAGCTATAAAATCAAAACACTGGGCACAGTTCTCTGTGGATTTATCACCGCAATAACCTCTTCCACATACACTGTTGTGTGCACCTTTTTCCTTAATATAAAAATATTGATTGTAGGAATACCACAATCTAGTTTTTTAAAAATCAATCAATCACAGTACACTTAAATATGTTACTGAAAACATTTGAGGAAAGAAACAGGCAACGCAGTAACAGAATCTTGATTCATATTTGATCAGCGCTGCCTAGTTTGACAGTTTGACTGCAGTTAATGAGCAGTGATTGACATGATTGACAGCTGCTTGACAAACTCCTCGACTCTGATTGGTTGTTTTCATTCAGCTGTGGTGGTTTTTGGCAAATGCCATTAGAAGCACCACGAGGAGGAGGAGGAGGAGGAGGAGGAGGAGGAAGATTTTTATTTTTTTTTCACAGATTATCTTTCTCATGGATTGCTGTGTGGATGTAGTGATAGTTTTAGCGAATTCTAAACAAAAATAAAGTTATTATTATAAAAGTTTTCAGTGTATTATACTGCAGGAGTTGTTTCAGAAGATTCTATGAATCTCTGGTCACTGTGACCTCACAAAACTAGTTTTCTCAACTCAAGAATTCATGTGCTAAATATGACAAAATCTCACACAAATATCTAAGATGATGAAGTGATGATATTTGGTACCCAGAAGGTCAAAAGTCAGCTTCACTGTGACATCATAATGTTCTGCATAAAACACTTGACTGGCCATTATTCGGGTCCATGTCATTGGTTCGACAGCCCATTGGTTAGGCATCCCATTAGTCCGACTGTCTGCGGCGGGCGTATGGTGCGCCGCGACCGGCTTGAGGCGGAGCAGGCTCACGGCTTATGTGTTTGTCACTTTCTTTTTCATTTTAACCCACACCATGATCTTTTCCTGACCCTAACCAAGTGGTGTTTTGTGCCTAAACCTAACCAGACCTTAACCACAGGGCATCATGATGATTTCGGAACGGACTTCGGAACAATGAGTTTAATATGGTCGGAACAATGGGCTGTCGAACCAATGGGCAGTTCCCCCATTATTCAACGTCATGTCTTAGGAACAGAAGGGGAAACATTTGGTCAGATACTGAATTGGTGACACTAATCTTGTTATAAAAATGACTGGCCACATTAAGTGTGCATCAAAGCATTGTAATATGTGAATCATGTCATGGCTTAGTGACCATGTGCCTTCATGCTTTGCCTGGAGAAATAAGATGTGGCAAGTTTAACCGGACTGATTATGACATGATCTCATTCTTTGCAATCACTGTATGTCATTTGCAGCCTCATTTCAAGTGGTTTGGTGAATAAGGGAAGGCAGGCAACCAATAATATGTTGTCTGTTCTCTCTGCCAGGCACACATTAAGGTTTTGGAATGCTGCATTTTTTGATGCTGTCCATTGTGAGAGGAAGAAAAGATCACCAACCACGAGGTGAGTCTGAGTGTGAATCTAAACAGATAAATAATTATACAAAACGATATATTAAAATAAATGTATCATAATGTTGTATGGACTGTGGAAAACATCTATGATCTTTAAAACATAAGTGTGTTGTTTTTTTGTGTGCTCCTGTGTCACTGTATCCGTCTGAGGGAATTTAAATAAAGGTTGGAGTACTGCTGGCTTCAGCAAAGAGCTGTATGTAAAGACAACTGTCATAGTCTGAACCACTACTGTCTCCTGATGCCCCACAGCCTCTCTTCTCTTCTCTTCTCTTCTCTTCTCTTCTCTTCTCTTCTCTTCTCTTCTACAAGCTGTTTTTGTTGTTCTCCCTCTTTCCGCATGTTGACTTTAACCCTTTGTCTTCTTGTGCCTTGCTGCCGGGCAGGGGAGCGCAGGATGAAGAGAAAGATGAGAGGTCTGTCCCTGTATTTGTCCACTGCCCTAAAAAACTACTCAGACTAACAGAAAAAGCAAAAGAGGAGAAGAAGGGCAGGGGCTTTGTCATTGTATCACAAATCCTATAGAAACAGGTATCATCATGGAGGTCCTGTGTAGACATTGTTTGGTGATAATAAAAACAGCATTTTCTTTTGATAGTTGTTTTTGTGATGAATTGGAATGTTTTGTGTATTTAACGCTTCCCTTTTTGGTCATAGTCTGAGCATGAGGAGCTGTACTGAGGATTTACACAGCGAGCAACAAGTAGCTTAGAAGGCTTAGAAGCTAGTGATGGTTTGTGGTGTGTGTAAAACATTGTCAAAATTCTATCAGGGTGGCTATGACCCCCCTGGCCAGCCCTTGGCGGTGCCACTGAAGCCAACACTCCCAGTTCAAAATCAAAAATTAAATTGTTCATAGCCCTGTTAGTCTGAAGCTTTCCTACAGATTAATTACAGGCTTTTACAATGTTTTAACTATAATCTATTAATACATTTAAAACCTGCTGTGGGGCAATATTTATGTCCTTTATCCATCTTCATGTGGGGGAAGGGCTACACAGCCCAGAAGGTGGTTTCATGGCAATATACTGTTTAGCCATGCGACTATAAAAGCAGGGACAGAGACTTACTATAAATGAAACATGGAGGTAAACAGTTCAGGTATCAAAATATCTATTTTCTATCTATTTTATTGAAGGAAATGCATTTAAAATATTGATTGGGCATCAAAAATATGCACATTGCCTAGTTGAGAAACAGTAAATGTTTACAAGAAAACTTCACCGGGTACCTTTAAATTAAAGAAAGCCATCTTTAAATTAGAGCAATCAGAAAATGGAAACTGTAAATGCCAGGGCAGGAAACAAGTGAATTGTCAGTTTGAATACAATAAATAGAAAATCAAAATGAAATTCAAATAAAATATCAAAAAAATAATTCAAAAAGAAGATCACAATAAATTAAAATAGATTTCAAAAAATAAAATTTAAATAGAGTAAAGGATAAAATTCAAATAGAATATCAAAGTAAAATTTAAATGTAGTATAAAAATAAAATGTAATGTAATTGTCAAAATAAGATTTAAATAGAGTATAAAAATACAATTTAAATAGAATATCAAAATAAAATTTAAATGAAATACAAAGAATAAATAAAGTATGGAAGAAAATTCAAATAGAATAACAAAATAAAATTTAAATAGAGCATTAAAAATAAAATTTAAATAGAGCATTAAAAATAAAATGTACTTAGAAGGTAAAAATAAAAATCCATTTTAAAATCCGATCGCTAATTAAACAGTTCATTGATGAGTCATTAGGAAATTTAGATTACTCAATTTTTAGTTTATCAATGTACTAATTGATTTTAATTAAACATGGTACTAGTGTGCAGTGGCACACTCCAGACTCACATGGTTGTGAGATTGAGCATCACAGTAAAACAGAGGCAGCTTCCAGAATGGTTGTAAAAAGCATTAAAAGCTGAGGGAGATATTGAGAGACGCTGTAGATGACAGAAACACATTGTCCTAGAGTGGGTTGATGTGAGAGCAGCTTGGTGTTTAGCCCTGTGCTGAAGGGTCAGGCTTAAGGTCTGGGAGTTGCCCTGGGTCTATTTTGCAGCTTGTCAGATGCGCTCTAGTGAACATGGACAGGATAGTCTCTAATGGTAAATCCCCAGACTGGATGACAGGAGTCTGTGGGACTGTGTTTGGTATAAATTAAAAGATATAATCTGCTTAATCACAGCAGACCAATGATGTCCGTAGCACTAGAATTATAATTTGGATGTGGTTTTATTGTAATTATAATAGGATTACTGTGTGTGTGATCATTGTGTTTGAGTAATGTATGTACATATAT